GGGGGTGGATCTGGGGGCGGGGCCAGAGGCAGGGTAAGGGGCAAAATCAGCTATGGGGAGCTGGGGGTGGTGCCTCTCCCACTGCAGAGCCTGACCACCACACCAAAGCATCAAGCAAACACACATGCCAGACATCCTCCCAAACCCAGTCACGCAGGTAACGCACCTGGAAATACACACACTCCCAGGGTGCCTTAGTAGCTTCTCTTGTTGCTGAGACAAAATACCTGACACCCAAAGTTAAGGGGGAAAGGGTTTATTTAGCTCATCCAAGGTAGGGTGGCACATGGCAGAGGGGCAACAGTTCATGGTGGCAGAGGACAGCAAAAGCAGCAAGAGGTCTTAAGGAGTCTTTCTGCCCCTTTTATTTTAGTCAGAGTACTCACGCCCTTAATCCCAGAGCCCTCCAGCCTAGCCCCACCATGAATCCATCACACACTGGATTCAGCCCCCTCTGAATAAGCGCAAGGCTTTGGGGGACATCTAAATACAAGCCACGACAGAAGATGAGTAAGCACATAATGAACACAGTAGCTAACACACATATAGAGTTCAAACATACACACTTGTCATCTCAGCATTGGGAGGCTGAGGCAGGAAGATCTCCAGTTTGAGGCCAGCCTGTGAAACTCAGTAAGAGCCTGTCTCAAAATAAAAATAAAAGAGCTGGTGATAGAGCTCAGTGTGAAGGCCCTGAGTCAATCCCCAATACCACAAATATATATATGGAGAAATAATTCATACAATTATATGGCTTTTAAAAAAAGATTAGAGCTGGGTGTGGTGGCGCACGCCTGTAATCCCAGCACTCGGGAGGCTGAGGCAGGAGTCTTGCTGTGAGTTCGAGACCAGCCTGGGCTACACAGTGAGTTCCAGGTCAGTCTCACTACATAGTGAGACCCTGTCTCAAAAAGACAAAACAAAACAAAAAGGTTAAAAATGGGCACACAGGGCTGGGTAAACCACTCAGTGGTGGGTGCCTGCCTATCATGCAAAGGCCCTGGGTTTATCCTCTCCCCAACACAGCAAAAATAATGGGCAAAGAACATAGTAGTTACTCAGTAAGCGCAAACACCACCAGCCCAGTACTCTTGCGGGGTCATAAAGGGATACGACGCCCACAGGCCACTCTGGAATCTTGGAGGAGGACGGGTGGGTGTGTTGGGGGACAGGGCCCTGAACCGGACTCTCCCCACTCCAGAGCGAGCGGGAGAACACCAGCTATGACGTGGCCACACTGCAGGACGAGGAGGGGGAGCTGCCTGATTTTCCAGGTAGGGCACCGCTGACCTGCCAGCCGGGAGCTGTGGACGGCAGGGTGTGGGGCACCAGGAGGGCGTCTGCACACCCCCGTTAGTTGCTCTACCTGCCTGAGCCATCTCTGGGGGTTCTGGTGCACTGCTCCAGAGCCCCTACTTTGGGGGCCGGAAGCCCAGCACTAACCGTGTATCCCATCGCCAGGGGCCGAGATGCCCCTTTCCAGGCAGCTCAGCCCCTCAGCCCAGGAGCGCTTCGCTTCGCTGCAGGAGCAAGTTGCTGAGCTCACCAGGCAGAACCAGGAGCTGCTAGAGAAGGTCCAGGTGGGGAAACTGAGGCTGCTGACAGATCTAGGGCCTGGGACTGGCGGGGAAGGTGGTGAGGCTGTCCTGTGTCCCCAAGGGCTACTCAGCCCTTGCCTGATCACCTTCGCACCCCCAGATCCTGGAGAACTTCCAGGAGGAAGACGCACAGGTGGCAGGGGATGGCCTGTCGGAGGTCATCCCTCTGGTCCTCTACGACTCTCTCCGGGCTGAGTTTGAGCAGCTCCGGAGGCAGCACGCCGAGGCCCTGAGAGCACTGGAGCGGCAGGAGGCCTGGGAGGAGCCCAGGCAAGAAGAGGACAAAGACGTGAGGGCCTCGGCCACCCAAAACAGGCCACCAGGCCCGCAGCTAAATGGCACCGCGGTTCCAGAAGCCAGGATTGGCGGAGCTGAGAGCGCAGATGAGGACGCTGCAGCGGGGGAAACAGCACCTGAACAACAGGAGGTCACGGGGACTGAGGGGGCAGGAGCCGAGGATGGGGGAACCGAAGCGGAAGGGACCGAGGCCATCGAAGTGGAGGCTGGAGACGAAGGAGAAAATATGGAAACTGAGACCACAGGAGATGCAGCCACGGCCTCAGAGGCCACAGGTTCAGAGGCCACAGCCACGGCCTCAGAGGCCACAGGTTCGGAGGCCACGAGGACGGAACCAGAAACGAAGACCAAAGCAGCTGGTGCCAGGGAAGTGGAGCTCTCTGCGAGCACAGAGGCCACGGGATCTCAGGCCACCGATGGAGAGGCCACGGCCGCAAGGGTCCCTGCTGGGCCCATCCTGCACCCGGGGGCTGCGGAGGCCTCTGAGAAGCTGCAGTCCGAGCTGGAGACCAGGATCCGCAGCTTGGA